AGATACGAGCCCGCGCGTGCTCGGGGAGCGCAGCAAGAACTGTAGAGGCGGCGGCGGCTTGCAGGTAGCGTTCGGCACTGGAAGCCTGACGCCAGCGCCCTCGCCAGAAGACGCGAGGGACGTCTTCCGTGGCGATATAAAAGTCTGTTGCGCCAGAGCCCCGCAGACAAGCGGGCGTCAGGTTGAGCCCCTGACCTGCTTTGGCAAGGGGGACGCCCAGAGCCAAAAGCAGATGATTCCACCGAGTACGGAAGCCGCTCGCACCGAAGGGGGCGAGAGGATCGGTGGAAGCCAGCCTCCCAAACACAAGATTCAATATCTTCACCGTGCCCCGATCGGAGCAGCGAGCATGTTGCGTCGGGTACGTTCTTCTGGTCTTTGGAACAAGAATCGAAAGAAAAGCATCTCCTTCGACTTCGAGACGGTCGCACGGAAGCGACAGGTCACAGCGGCGGGACGCCAGCAGTTCGCCAGGCCTGAGGAACATCGTGAAGCCCATGAGCAGCAGTGCCGCCATCACAGGCCAGTCCCAGGCGAGACAGAGCCCGACCATGGCGCGCAGCAGCGCGCGTGGCAAGGGGGGACGGAGCTTTGGCGGCTCCGCAAGCTTCCATTGTTTCGCTACGTCCCAAGCTTCTGTCAGAAAGGCCTTCCAATGCGGATGGGCGCTCTGGATTCCCAAGATGGCGTGGACCAAAATATAATGGGGAAAACCTGCATCATGAAGCCACACGCCGAAGGTCGCTAGGAAACGGGCGAGAAGTATCCCGCTTCGGTAAAGCGTGGCGGGTGGCACGCCAGTGTGTTCTGCTAACCACAGCTCGAAGGCATCAATCGATCTCGAACGACGGTCGAGATACGCGGAGGTGAGGTGAGAATCGCGCACGAAAGGAGTGCGCGGAGGGCGAGCGGGCGCGGGCGGCGCAGCTCCACTAAGCCCTTGGCCGGCGGTCGGCGCCGCGGCTCCCAGAGAGATGCAGAGGCCGCAGACGCACCGCGGGATGAGCGCAGGGCGGCCAGGGCTCGGAGAGCTGATGAGTGTGGCGGCCCTCCTGCGCCTGGACGCGTAGAAGGGCGGAACGAGGGCGTCCCGCCCGTCGGTCTCGAACCCCGACGCCTCAGCCAGCATCGCCCGCGCCGAGCTGAAGGACCCGCCCATGTTACGGTAGGCGCGGCGAGCCCCTGCTTCGATCTCGGCTGGCAGAGCGTCCCCTTTCTCGAGGGTCGGCCAGTCAAAAGGCGGGCGCGGCTCGGCACGCGCCGCTGCGGCTGCTTCGGCCAGCTCGGAACGAGCTGCCGAGGACGTGAGGCCCGAATGATGAGGCACGGGCACCACCTCCGCGAAGGCGTCGAGGATCTCGGACGGAGGGGAATGGGATCCCCACAGCGCTGCTGGGATGGCGCCGTGACTGTCCTGCACGTGGTACAGAAAGTCGAAAAGGCAGGCCAGTTTGCCCGCGCGCCGCCGCTGCTCGATCTTTGAGCCGAGCCCGATGCCACGGATGGCGCCCGCTCCCATGGCCTGGAGGTCAGCATGTGCGGGAATAGCCTCGGGCTCGACGACGGCCGCGTAAGGATGCAGCCACGAGGCCTCGTCGATCGGCTCGGCGCCGCCTGTCTGAAACAGGCGCTTGTAGGCGTGCAGGGCCCGCAGGAGGCAGTGCAGGTCATCCTTGCCTTCGGGCTCGGCGGCCCCTGCGGGTGCGAAAGTCCTCAGCCACGACGCCGCACTCTGGAAGGCAGCTTGCCAGGCGGGGCCCCACCTCACTACCGTGATCTTCTCGCCGCCGATGTTGAGGCGCCACGCTAGGGCGCTCGCGGCCCCTGGAGGCAGGGGCTGCTCAGCGGCCGCCGAGGCCGTGCGCCGCGCTGCGAAGGCTGCAGCCGCGGCGCTTTCAGCGTCACCGCTGTGAGCGCCGCTGAGGGGCAGCTCGGGTTCAGAAGCTCGGCCACGCACGAAGCCGCTCGAAGACCCCCCTTCCTCGGCGGCACGCCCTCCTCCCTGCGGGGCCGCAACAGCATCGCTGGAAGAGCGCATGCCTACCGAAGTCGGAGTAGCCTGAGCAGCGGAGTCCGCGCGGGAGCCGGCTGGCCGCTGCGAGGTGGCGGGGCTCGGGCGACGCTTCGGAGCGACTCGAGGAGAGCGCACCGCGCGACGCCCAAGCGGCGCACGTGAGCGCGACGCCGCACGCCCCCTAGAATGGTGACGGGGTGGCGACGGCGGCGGGGGAACGGGCCGCGGCGGCTCGGGGCCAGCACGCGGGCCGCGGCCCCGAGAGCGGCTGCGAGCCGCAGCGCGAGCGGCGGGCGGAGAGGTCTCCGCGCGGCGCGGGAAGGCCGCCTGCAAGCGGCGGAGGACCTCGGGGTTCAGGCCCGCCACGACGCGCTCGAGGTCCACCGAGGAGTCAGTGAGAGCACTCAAAACGACGTCCTCGAGCTCCGTCGGAGAGTCCTCCTCGCACGCGGGCTCCGCTCTCGAACGGCTGCGGGCGCTCGCTGG